AAACCACCCACAACCCACTCACTACTGTTATATTACATCTCTGCTTTCAGCCTTCATATTATAAACAAAGGGCTTTCAGTTTACATTGATTTTGAGTATTAAAAATATCTGATATTAAATATGCAGCTCAATTTGTAATTAAAAATAAAGCCTGTCTTGCTGTGTAGAGTTTTAGCACGGAGCCTGAATCCAAGAGGACAGAAAATCAATAAAAAATCATGTCTGCCTTATGCTAATTGTTTATTTTTACTCATAATAACCAACAGAATGAATCACCACCACAATTATTGCACTTTCAGCTCACAGACACTCCAGACTAACAATTTCTGAAAAGATAAATACAACTGCACTTGTTTTCAAGATCTCTATAGTTTAAAAAAAATACCAAATTTAGCAGGCGCTAGGTACATTTTATCAGAAATGACCCAAATTCATAAAGATATCACATTTCTGTGAGCATTTACATGTCAAACAATGGCATATCTGAGTCGACCAGGGTCTCCTGAAAGTAACAACATATGGCAGGTGTGACTGTCACATGTAAATACTGCATAATTGTAATTGACCCAAAAAATACCAAAAAAGGGTCCCCAAAATTTTAAGTTTCTAAGGTGAAACAGGAAAATTCAAATAAGAATCTGGTGAATATCTGACTTCATATCACTGAAGAATTAGGGGTGGGTGATAATAAATAATTGCCCCCCTCTTTGAAGGCCTATGATGCCCTAAATGTAACTAAAGCCCAGCAGTGAGGAGCTGAACTTTACCCTCCTCTGCTGTCACTGCAGACTGGCAGGGTCGCCTACAGAGCAGCGCTGGTAGCTGTTAATGAAGTGATGCTCTTTTTATTTGAGGGTCCCATTTCAGAGGGAAGATTTCAACCACTACCCTGTAACTCAGTTCTAAGGGGCAACACTCGAAAAACAAGGGGTAAAAATGGGAAATAAGATTGGGCCTCAGACTGACTAGGAACTATTGTGTGCATGTTAACGAAGCCATTGTGGAGCTTCAGCTCTGCTAACAGAGCCAAACTCTGTGACTCTGCAATGTGAATCATTGCAAGTGACTTTGAAATGTCAGGAAATGCAGGCTAAAGTTTTCTTAAGAAACAGATCAAACAATAGAGATAATAACTGACATCAAACATCTTTTAAATATTAATAAAGCACGTTCGAGGTATTTTTGGCACGATGATGATGCTCTTCTTTCTCTCAATCCAGAATTAGCAGTAACGTCTTTCAATTTGAAGAGCTGCTCCTTCAGTACGAGGTTCTTTAGGGGTTCTTTAGTCTAAGAGAATGTTCTGTTTCAAACCATGGGTTCTGTATAGAACTATTTTGTGTTCGCATGAGGAAATGGTTCTTCAGATGGTATGAGCTTTTGTGTAGCACCAAAAAGGGTTCTGCTATTGTAAGAAAGCTTGGCATCCTAACAACAGTAGAACCCCTTTTGGTCCTATGTAGAACCATTTTCAAAAAGGTTCTGTATAGAAGCATATACAACGCGTTCTCCATTGATCTGTAGAACCATTTCACCATGCCAATAACCCCTTAAGCAATATAGAACAGCTATATAGAATAGCACCATTCCCTTTACTAAAGAACCATCTTTTTTAAGAGCATACATAGAACTCATAGTTCTAAATAGAACCATTTGCTCTATTTAGATGTATGTAGGCCTTTTAATCTTTAGAAGAAGTCCAGCCATTCACTTACAGCTTAAACCAACAGCAGGTTAGCACGGATAGCTACACTCTTAAAAAAGATGGTTCTTCAAGGTTTCTTTAGTTAAGAATATGGTTCTACATAGATCCGTGAACACATTGTTACAAGCTTGACATCATAACAATAGGAGGATCCTTTTGGGTGCTATACAGAACCCACTTAAAAAGGTTCTCTGTAGACAACATTGATGTGTGGAAAGTTTAATAATGAGCATTTTATTTAATGGAATCATCATTATTATGTTATTGCATTCTGCATGAAAACTCTTATTTAATTGTTAAGTTTGGACTTAACAATTAAATAAGCTCTTGAAAAGCCCTTGAAAACTCTTGAAAAGCCCAGTGGAAAACTGTCCAATCAGGATTGGGTTCTGGGTAGATACAGCCCAGCTGCTCTCCCACTGGTTAGGACTTCAGATGCTGCACTGAAGGCCTTATTAGATTAACTACCAACATAATTAGGAAGTGAAAAAGGAATCAGCCAATCACGTTCTGATTTAAAATGGTTGGTGAGAAAACACATCACTATAGTCCTTCTGGAGGTTCTAGATACATCACTGTGTGAACACGAGTTGTAGTCTAACCAGATTTCAGGTAGTTGTTAGGAATGGAAAACAGCAGCGGCAGCTCTACACGCTACACATCACCACCCGCCCATAGGTTTTATGTACATGTGAGTATCTAAATATTATAGTAATATGTCCCAAGTGTATTATATGTATTTAAAATTAAATGTATATTGTCATAATTTGCACCATATGTATTATATACATTGTAACTATCGACACGTTAAAATTTGTCCCATATGTATTATATTTGCATAATTACCCATATGTTATAATAATGTCCCGCTCACTGTCCATTTTATCAGCTCCACTTACTATATAGGTGCACTTTGTAGTTCTACAGTTACAGACTGTAGTCCATCTGTTTCTCTGATACTTTGTTAGCCCAGCACTGCTGTGTCTGATCCACTCGTACCAGCACAACACACACTAACACACCACCACCACGTCAGTGTTACTGCAGTGCTGAGAATGATCCACCACCCAAATAGTACCTGCTCTGTGAGGGTCCATGGGGGTCCTGACCATTGAAGAACAGGGTAAAAGGGGGCTAACAAAGTCCCCTTTTACCAAACAAATTCATTCCATGCATTTTTAAACACATGATATCACAGCACTGTTTAATGCACAAACTATGCATCACCAAATCACCGCCACGAGTCTTATTTAGCACCAATCAAGCGGCTCCTCTTCTCACACCGGGGCTGAATCTCAAACGGCTCCCTGCTCCCTACATAGTGCACTACGTAGGAGGTTAAATACTGGATCCTGCAGCCCAACAGAGCAAAATACAGCTAAGAAACAGTCATTTGGGATTCAGACTCATCCACACTCGATACATGATGCAATGTTTGGCTGTAGAGGCTAGAATTTCTAAACCTTCATAGCTAGAACACTGTTTAGGGAGTACAGAGCTGTTTGGGATTCATTTGAAGTGTGTAAAACATTCAAGTGATGTTTTTAGACTTTAATTCAAGCCTCTGATATTAATGATGGAGTTTATTAGCATGTTTGCTATCTTTTAGCCTGTTAGCTAGCTGACCAGCCCAGTTCCATTCAAGAACATAAGTTTTCAGCCCCTCAGTTAAAACGAAAAACAGGTTCTTACTTCATCAGTGCACTCGTTGGTCCATGCGAGCAGCATCAGAGTCAAAGAGCTTCGACTCTTGTGCTGTGGCGCAGTGATACAGAGTTCAGTTGCTGTGAGGCGGTCATACACACAGGCGGTGTGTGTATATCGTGGATTTTACATCGGCTTCAAACGCGGCTCAGCCAATCAGATTTTAGAACCGAAAATATCTGTTTCATAAACTTGATTCTATCATTTCAAAACCTCTTCAGAGTCAATTCATTTTCACACCCCTAAAGTCTCTTCTTAAAAACGTGTGTGTGAGAGTGTGTGTGTGTGTGTGTGTGTGTGTGTGTGTGTGTGTGTGTGAGTGTGTGTGTGTGTGTGTGTGTGTGAGAGTGTGTGTGTGTGTGTGTGTGTGTGTGTGTGCAGCATGCAGGTGCGAGTCTTTTACCCAAACTGAATAAATACCACAAATCCAGCCAACAGGAGCTGCAGCGGTTTACTAAACAGCCCAGAACAGAAGAACAAATTAAATTGTTTATGTGTGACAGAGTCATCAGGGACGGATTAAGTTGGTGCCTTTCAGATTCCTCATTAATTAAACGCCAATCAAACTCTTGTAATTAGTGCACAAACACACACAGCATATCCCAGGACTCAGTGTTTGCTCAACCTTTAGCGTAGAAAGGATTGGCATGTGAGTGTGTGCTCTAATTATTATCTATATGTGAGCACTTAAATATTATAATACGTCCCCTACACACAGGGGAGTGGAGTAAAGCGCCGCCACTGGACTCTGGAGCAGTGGAAACATATTCTGTGGAGTGACCAATCACGCGTCTCTATCTGTCAGTCTGATGGACGAGTCTGGGTTTGGAGAACGTGACCTGCCTGACTGCACTGTGCCAGCTGTAAAGTTTGGTGGAGGAGGGATGATGATATGGGGCTGTTTTTCAGGGGTTGGTCTAGAACCCTTAGTTCCAGTGAAGGGAAATCTTAATGCTTCAGCACCAAGACATTTTGGACAACTGTAGCTTCCAAGTTTGTGTGAACAGTTTGGGGAAGAACCTTTCCTGTTCCAGCATGACTGAGGCCCCAGTGCACAAAGCAGCTCCATAAAGGCCTGGCTGGGTGAGTTTGGTGTGGAGCTTGACTGACCCTCACAGAGTCCTGACCTCAACCCCATCAAACACCTTTGGGATGAACTAGAACGGAGATTGTGAGCCAGACCCTCTCGTCCAACATCAGTGTCTGATCTCACAAATGCTCTTCTGGACGAATGGGCAGAAATTCCCACAGACTCTCTCCAACATCTGTAGGAAGCTTCCCAGAAGAGTGGAAGCTGTTAGAGCTGCTAACAGAACTCCATATTAATGTCTATGGATTTAGAATGGGATTCATAAAAGCTCCAGTAGGTGTCCCAACACTTTCACCCATATAGTGTATGTAAGTCTCTATACGTAATAATCATATTTTTTGATGTTTATTATATTTATCTGAGGGTCTATATTACGTACATGAATGTGAATAATATGAATTTTCGAAACTCATCAGGAACCAAAAATAAAAGGTGTTGTTCTTTCAGTATATTTATATATATACACACTTCACAATGAAAGGGGCGTGTTGTAAGACCCAC